CTGGCGCGGCCTCTTCGCCGACGCCTCGCCCTGGTCGTCACGAGGTGCCATGCTGGCGTCCCCGGACGATCCTGGCCTGCCGTCTCCAGCTCCAGCCGCTGGCCCCGGCGCGGCTCCCGCCGCCGCCGGCGTCGGCGCAGCCCCCGCCGCTGCCGACGAGGGCGCGGCCTCCGCCGCTGCCCTGGCCATTTCCTCCTTGCGCAGCTCGTTCTCGATCCTCTTCCGGCACTCCTCGCTGTGCGATCCCATGCCTGTGACGCACCTCGGGCACATGGGGGTCCAGCCGTACTTGTCGATCAGCGCTCTCGTGATGTACGTCGACCTCAGCCCTGCGCCTCCTGGCCCCGTAGGCGGCGCCGGCCCGACCATCGCTGGTGGCACCAGCGCCTCCGGGCCCGCGGCTGGTAAGACCACTGTCGGTGGCGGAGGTGGCGGCAGCAGCCGCTGCTGGTTCGGCTCCACCTGGGGCTCCCGTCGGCACAATGCCGATCTGTGGAGCCCGGTGCATGTCCCACGGCACCCCAGCGAACTTGTCCAGCTCCTCCAGCATGAACCGCTCGCCCTCCGGTCGCCGTCTCACCGTGCGCACCCTCGTTGTGCGCGTCGGACCCGCCACCAGGTGCTCGTCCGAAACCTCTGTCTTGCCCAGCCACACCGCCGCGTGCCACCGAGGCTGCAGCTTGGAGGTCGGCGTGGGGTCCCTCGCCCAAACGCACTCCGCGAAGTTGACGAGCTCGCCCCGATACGGCCTCCCCTTGAGCACCTCGTAGGTCGTCTTGCCGTTGCCGTGCACCGTGAAGCGGTTGAGCTGCCAGCCAGCGTGCCGAATGAGCCAAGGCAGAAGCCCATGCTCGGCTGGGAGCTCCCGCTTGTAGTTGTCGCCCACCGAGAACAGCAGCGCCCTGATCTGCTTGCCGAGCTCCTCGTTGGCGCGCTCCACTCCACCAACTCCCTGATGGTTAGCCCGCTGAGCCGACTCGATCATCGTGGGCGCCTTCCGCTGAGCCTTGATCTCCCTCGCCAGGGCCGTGATCGACGCCTCCTGGTCGTGCTTCAGCACGATGCGATCCAGCCCCCAGTTCTCGATGGTGGCGACCGCTGTCTTGACCATGTAGGCGTCGGTACCCTTCGGCCCCATGATGCCATGAATAGCCTGGGAGTTCATATGCACCATGTTGAGGATGCTCAGCTGGCCCAGGAAGTAGTAGTCGATCTGGACCTCGTCGCCTGTGCGCTCGTGCCCGTCCTTGTAGTGCGGGTCGTCCGTGAACTTGGATCTGACGCACACCCAACACCAAGACCTCGCAGGGATGTGCACCAGCTCGTGCGTCCTCTGCTCGGCCAGGCTTGGCTTCACTGGATCCTTCTTGACTCGAACTGGCACGGACTCCTCGAGCACTGCCTGCGCTGCTGGCTCGCTCGCCTCGGCCTGAGCGCGAGTCGCGGCAGCCCCTCCGCCGCCGCCGCCCTGGAGCGCGGCCCTCGCCGCTGCCCTGGACGCAGCTGATGCGCCGCCAGGCTCGCCTCCTGGCTCCTCGCCCCGCACCGGCATGACGAGCGAGTTCTTGACGCCTTCACCGTACCTGTCCATCTTGAGGTAGAACAAGTCGTTGCGTCTGACCAGCGGCACGGCGTCTGGGTCCGAGAACTCGATCGGCTTCGGGATCATGTAGCTCCCGCTCGGCGTGAATACCCACGACGTGCCCTTGTCGACCGCCTGCGACACGCCCAGCACCGGCCTTTTGACGTCGGCGACCTTGTAGTCCACCCCGATCTTGTGCCCGCCCTTCGCGTACGTGACGAAGCGCTCGCCGTGGCACGGGATGTCGTCGCCGCTCGCTCCGACCAGCCAGATGCGCTCGCTCAGGTCTCTGAGTGTCTCGTGGGCCCCGTGACTCGGCGGGCACACCGATCGCGCAGCACCCGAATCCACCATGACCCAGTGCTCATTGATACCGATGATCTCCTTGCTCTCGAACGTCTCGTGCTCGTTTGCTGCCCCTGGCTGACTCAGCTGCTCGATCGGGCTGGCCCCGACCAAGAATGGCTGCCTCGGCTGCGCGTGCTCGTTTGACGCCTCTGGCGGGCTCAGCCGCTCGATCGGGCTGGCTCCGACCAAGGATGGCCGCCTCGGCTGCTCGTGCTCGTTTGACGGCCCGCTCGAACGACGGTGGATCGCTGTCGTTGCTGGTGCTGAGGGCGTCGCTGCTGCTCCACTCGATGATGATTCTTGCCCTTCTCCCAGCTCGATCGCGAGGCACCACAATGGCTCTGCCCCGCTCTCGGTTGCGATCGCCATCACTGGCGCCGCGCTCCCCGCGGCGCTCGCCGCTGGTGGAGCTCCCGTCGGCTTCGACTCCTGCTCGACTGCGTTGGTGCCCTTCTTCTTCTTCTGCTCTGCGAGGAACTTCCTGCACTCGCTCTTGACGTGACCTGTCTTGTGGCAGTGGAAGCATCGTTTCTCGGCCCTGTCCTTGGCCGCCTGGCTCTTCTGGTCCGTGGAGTTGTCGTCGCCCTTGCCCTTCCTGCCCTTGCCTTCCTTGCCCTTCTTTCCTTTGCCCTTCCACGCCGCCTCGCGCCTCGCCTTCTCCACCGCGCTCGTGTCCATCGGAACTGGTGGCGGCACTGCTGAGATGGCGCTCCTCGTCGAGATCACCATGTGCACTTCGTTGCGCATGAGCTCCCACGTGACTAGCCTCGACGCGTTGTGGACCAGGTGCGCTCGAAGAGCCTCGTCCTGAATCCCCCGCTGAAGGATCGCCATCTTGATCCTGTCCCCAATCCTCTCGTGGCTCTGGCTCTCGTACTTCGTGACTTTGAAGTCGAAGTCCGCCAGCATCCCCACGATGTTGTCCTCTGGGAACTGGAACGCGATCAGCTCTTGCAGCAGTCCTGCATGGCGACCTGGTCTGTCGGGCTCGTACATGTCTTGCAACGTCCTCCACGCCCGATACCCTTCTCCGACGCCGACTGGCTTGATGAGCTGTAGTGCGGCTCCTTCCAGCAGCAGGACGAGGATGAAGTACAGCTGGCGACTGCGCTGACTCGCTCCCTCCTCCAGGAGTCTCGCGTTCCTCACTTCCTTCCAGCGGGAACGTCATGGCCGCCGTCAGCTCGTTGGCCATCTGCTCGTCGAGAGCTCCGAGGTATGCGAGCATCTTGAAGCTCCACCCTGGCCACTCGTCCTCGTTGCCTCCGAACGCCTTCGGCTTCGCCAGAAGCCGAGTGTCCACCAGATCCTGAGGCGCGGCCCTCGCCGCTGCCACGGGCCTGCTCGCGGCGGCGCCTGCGCTCGCTGCTGCTGACTCCGCCGCCAGGGCGCGCTCCTCTGCAGCCTGCACCCGTTGTTCTGCAGCCTGCAACGCTCCCTCGAGCGCCTGGAAGCGTCTCTCGATCTCTTCCATACTTCAGATCGAGCTTCTCGTCGAACTTCCTACTCCTCAGGATGTCTGCCTTGTTCGACCTCGAGCCACGCTTCGTCTTCTTCTTCTTCGGCGGCGTGCTGGGCTATGAAGGGCCGGCTGGCGCGGCCCTCGCCGCTGCCAGCCGCCAGGGCGCGGCCCCCGCCGCTGCCCTATCGCGGGCGCGCGCGCCCGCCGCGGGTGGCTGGAAGGGAAGCGGCAGCGGGAACGAACCCACGCCGCTCCGCTACCATGTCGATGGTTTTTACTTGGACCAAGGGGCTACAGATTAGCATGTACAGTCAACAAGGAGGGGGGAGGAGGGTGAGGAGGGGAAGAGGAGCAGGAGGAGGAGGAGGAGGAGGAAGAATAGGAGGAGGAGGAGGAGGAGAAGGAGGAGGAGGAGGAGGAGGAGGAGGGGAGGAGGGGAAGCAGGCAGAGAGGAGCAAGAGAGCAAGCGAGCACGACGGGCAACGCCCCCGCGCTGCGATCGGCGCGCGCGCGGAACCCTGGTCGCCCCCGCCGAGCCTGGTGTGGGAGCCGGCGAGGATGAAGGGCGGTGTCGGGCCTGATGGGCCTGTTTTCCACCACCACCACCACCACCATAAGGGAGAGGGGAAGGAGGAGGAGGAGGAGGAGGACGGGGAGGAGGAGGAGGAGGAGGAGGAGGAGGAGGAGAAGGAGGAGGAGGAGGAGGAGGAGGAGGAGGAGGAGGGGAGGGCCCCCTCCCCCTCCAACTTATGATGCTGGTGGTGGAAAACAAGCCCATCAGGGCCTCCTCCCCCTCCGAGCCCACTCCCGGAGGGCGACCAGAGACGACGGCGGCTCAAGAGCGATCCCCGGACTCCCAGCCCGAGGCCCAAACACGCACCAGCTCTCCGAGCCGCGTCGAGCCGTGGCGACGAGGGGGATCCCCCCGAAGGCCGACCGCGCCTGCCTCCTCCACTGGCCATCCTCTGACAAGCCTCCCTCCTCCTCCTCTCCTCCTCCTCCTCCCTCCTACTCCTCTTCCTCCTCCTCCTCCTCCTCCGCCCCTCCTCACCTCCTCCTCCTCCTCCTCCTCCTCCTCCTCCTCCTCCTCCTCCTCCTCCTCCTCCTCCTCCTCCGCCTCCGCCTCCGCCCGCCTCCGCCTCCGCCTCCGCCTCCTCCGCCTCCTCCGCCTCCTCCGCCTCCTCCGCCTCTCGCCTCCTCCTCCTCCCTTTCCTCCTCCTTTCCTCCTCCCTCCTCCTCCTCCTCTTCCTCCTCCTCCGCCTCCTCCTCCTCCTCCTCCTCCTCCTCCTCCTCCTCCTCCCCTCCCCTCCTCCTCCTCCGCCTCCTCCTCCTCCTCCTCCTCCTCCTCCTCCTCCTCCTCCTCCTCCTCCTCCTCCTCCTCCTGACAAGCCTGACTCTGAGCAACGCTCAACCGATCCCTATCCCCACTGGCGTGGCCTGGGCCCCACTGGCACCCCCCCTGGATAAGGATACGGGCTGCTCCCTTCGGGCTTCGAGGGGGCCATCCCCAGCTGGGGTGGTACCCTGACGGGGCTGAGAGACCATGGACCCATTGGGGATAGGGCTCGGATAAACGATACTGCCCCTCGGCTCGCGCGGCGAGGCCGCCTCAGCGTGAGCACGTCCAGCTTGCCGTCCCCCGGGTGCGAGGACCGGCTTAGCAGCCCGGAGTCCCTGGGCGGGTCGACGCCTGCCGCGCCGGCGGGCGGCGTCTCGCCGCGGCGGCGCGCCGAGCCATACGGCCGCCGAGGGAGCCCGGACAGCCAACGACTCGGAAAAGTCAGCACGCCAAACTTTGATGTCTCGGACGTCGTCGCCACGGCTGGATTCGCCTCCAAATTCTGGTTCTGGTCAGGTCGACTTGTGACCAATAGGCCCCTCTCGCCCTGAACAAAAACACGACGGGCGGCTTTTTGATTTTTCTTTTAGCCTCAGGGCCCCTGCTGGGTCCCAGGGCTGTCAAAAACGACTCAGGACGGAAAAACAGCTCTCGGAAAAGGGTCGGGACTTACAGAGACCCCGCGTCGAAAAGATCGAGGAGAGGAGCGAGCAACCAGCATTGCGCATCAGCGCGACACCACAAGAAGCAAGCATCGCACGCACACCCCGTGGTGGCTCCGGCAGGCGGCAGTTCAACTTGCGAAGCCGCCGGTAGGCGGCTGATACCCGGACCATCTTGGCCTGCTCGTCGGCCGCCTGGATTTCACGGGCACTACACAGCTGGAGCGCAACGCCGACCATCAGCTGCCTGCAGTGCTTGGAGCGCGCGTGCCACGAGGGAGATAAGGACCACGAGGACGAATACCGGGGCGGACGAATGGGGGGGATGTTAGGTGCGAGTCAGCGAATGCGAATCGGCTGCACGAGCTGGTCTCCCTGGCACCTCCCTCCGAGCAGAGCGCCCAGCGGCGGGGCCGGCGGGAGCTGAGCGCGAGGAGGTGCTCCTTCGCAGGGCGTCCAGAGAAAACGAGCACCCCCCTCGGAACGTGGGGAACAACATGATCGAGGATGGACTGAGGATCGTACGTCAACCTGGGCCCGGTCAGCGAGGGGGCGAGATGCAGAGGCAGGACGAGGAGGTGCCGAGCACACACAGACACACACACACACACACACACAGCTAGGCGGCCCAGAGAGGGCCCCTGTCGGCGATGAGTGGTCGATTGGGAGTCGATGCATCCCCCCCTGAGCCCCCGAATCCAGACCACCGACGCCGCGATTTGTTGCACCAACTTCGGCCCTCAGAGGTCTCGACTCTCCAGGACCGGCTTTTCACCCCGACACGCTTCTGACTGTCCCCCGGCCCAGCGAGGGCACCCAGAGGCCGCGAATAGCCAAGAAGCCTCCCGTCGTTACGTTGCTCCCGACGCGAGGGGGGTCTTGGAGCGCTGCCCCTCCGGGGCGGCACTTTGGAGTCCCGAAACGGTGCGGTGACGGACCGTGCGGTGACCCCGAAATCCCCCAAGACCTCACCGCACGGTCCGTCACTGCACGGTTTTGGCACCCCGGAGGCCCCTGTCACCCGAGACATCCTCGGAGAGGGACTCGAGTCCCAAAACCGTGCGGTGACCCCGAATCCCCACCGACTCACCACACGGTATGGTCACCACACCGTTTGGGGGCCCCCGAGGCACTGATCGGGGACGCACTATATTCCCAGGGCCAGCGCAAACCGGGGTCAGCCAGGACCACGTCGCGAAGCCAGGCCAGCCGCCCCGTAGCTCCCACGCCTGGGTCAGCGGAGGGCGGAAAGATTAAGTCGGTACATATACAAATACATAAACATATACATATACATACACAGATACATATACATATACATATACATATACATATACATATTCATATACATATACATATACATAGACACAGACACAGACACAGACACAGACACAGACACAGACACAGAAACAGAAACAGACACAGACACATACATAGACATAGACATAGACATAGACATAGGCACAGACTTAGACACAGACATAGGCATAGGCATAGGCATAGACATAGACATAGACATAGACATCGGCATAGAATTAGACATGGACATAGACATATACATAGACATAGTCATAGACATAGACATGGACATAAACATAACCATATACATGTACATAGACATATACATGTACATATACATATACATATGCACATACCTATGCACATATGTACATATACATGCACATATGCACGCACATATATCTATATACGCATACATACACCTATACATATACACATGAATATAGATATACATATACATATACAAATGCAAATACATATATAAATATGTATATATATCTATGTACATATACATATGCATATACATATACATGAATATACCTATACATAGACATAGACATATACATATACATATACATATACACATACATATACATATACATATACACATACGTATACACATACGTATACATATACATAAACATACACATATACATATATGTATACATGTACAAATACATACATACATACATAAAACTTCATATTCACATACATGAATATACGCATATGCACCTACACATGCCTATACACATATGCAAATATGCATACACATATACATAAACATATACATGTACCTGAACATATGCCTATGCACATGTACGTATACATATAGATATACGTAGTTGTATGCAAATACATGTACATAGAGGCAAATATACAGGTACACAGACATACACATGCAAAATACTACAAACTACAGAGTCTAAGTTCGATTATATCTGTATATTACGTATAAAATACAATAACGTTTGCATTAAATATGATGTGTCACATGATATATCATACACCGCACGTATGATTCAACATGTGTGATAAATGACATATCACTGTTATATAAAATATACGATTTGCTACATCTTACATATTGTAGATAGTATATGCTTTACGATATGCGATCAATAATATAAGATGAAATGATATAGATATGCTTATAACATACACGATACAAAAAAAAATATCCTGGCGAAAGACCCAACCAAAAGCAATTGTTGGTAACGCGTTGTGGGTGCCGCTTTCGGTGGGGCTCCATATGGGGCCACGAAGCGCTGCCTTGGATGGGGGAACCGCATGCGGACTGCGCCACCGGGGCGGGCCTTCGGTGGAGCTCCCTATGGGGCTACGAAACGCTGCCCTGGGTGGGGGAACCGCATGCGAACTGCGCCACTGGGGCCTTCGGTGGAGCTCCCTATGGTGCCACGAAACGCTGCCCTGGGTGGGGGAACCGCATGCGAACTGCCCCACTGGGGCTTCGGTGGAGCTCCCTATGGGGCCACGAAACGCTGCCCTGGGTGGGGGAACCGCATGCGAACACCCCCACTGGGGCCTTCGGTGGAGCTCCCTATGGGGCCACGAAACGCTGCCCTGGGTGGGGGAACCGCATGCGAACACCCCCACTGGGGCCTTCGGTGGAGCTCCCTATGGGGCCACGAAACGCTGCCCTGGGTGGGGGAACCGCATGCGAACACCCCCACTGGGGCCTTCGGTGGAGCTCCCTATGGGGCCACGAAACGCTGCCCTGGGTGGGGGAACCGCATGCGAACACCCCCACTGGGGCCTTCGGTGGAGCTCCCTATGGGGCCACGAAACGCTGCCCTGGGTGGGGGAACCGCATGCGAACACCCCCACTGGGGCCTTCGGTGGAGCTCCCTATGGGGCTACGAAACGCTGCCCTGGGTGGGGGAACCGCATGCGAACACCCCCACTGGGGCCTTCGGTGGAGCTCCCTATGGGGCCACGAAACGCTGCCCTGGGTGGGGGAACCGCATGCGAACACCCCCACTGGGGCCTTCGGTGGAGCTCCCTATGGGGCCACGAAACGCTGCCCTGGGTGGGGGAACCGCATGCGAACACCCCCACTGGGGCCTTCGGTGGAGCTCCCTATGGGGCTACGAAACGCTGCCCTGGGTGGGGGAACCGCATGCGAACACCCCCACTGGGGCCTTCGGTGGAGCTCCCTATGGGGCCACGAAACGCTGCCCTGGGTGGGGGAACCGCATGCGAACACCCCCACTGGGGCCTTCGGTGGAGCTCCCTATGGGGCTACGAAACGCTGCCCTGGGTGGGGGAACCGCATGCGAACACCCCCACTGGGGCCTTCGGTGGAGCTCCCTATGGGGCCACGAAACGCTGCCCTGGGTGGGGGAACCGCATGCGAACACCCCCACTGGGGCCTTCGGTGGAGCTCCCTATGGGGCTACGAAACGCTGCCCTGGGTGGGGGAACCGCATGCGAACACCCCCACTGGGGCCTTCGGTGGAGCTCCCTATGGGGCCACGAAACGCTGCCCTGGGTGGGGGAACCGCATGCGAACACCCCCACTGGGGCCTTCGGTGGAGCTCCCTATGGGGCCACGAAACGCTGCCCTGGGTGGGGGAACCGCATGCGAACACCCCCACTGGGGCCTTCGGTGGAGCTCCCTATGGGGCCACGAAACGCTGCCCTGGGTGGGGGAACCGCATGCGAACACCCCCACTGGGGCCTTCGGTGGAGCTCCCTATGGGGCCACGAAACGCTGCCCTGGGTGGGGGAACCGCATGCGAACACCCCCACTGGGGCCTTCGGTGGAGCTCCCTATGGGGCCACGAAACGCTGCCCTGGGTGGGGGAACCGCATGCGAACACCCCCACTGGGGCCTTCGGTGGAGCTCCCTATGGGGCCACGAAACGCTGCCCTGGGTGGGGGAACCGCATGCGAACACCCCCACTGGGGCCTTCGGTGGAGCTCCCTATGGGGCTACGAAACGCTGCCCTGGGTGGGGGAACCGCATGCGAACACCCCCACTGGGGCCTTCGGTGGAGCTCCCTATGGGGCCACGAAACGCTGCCCTGGGTGGGGGAACCGCATGCGAACACCCCCACTGGGGCCTTCGGTGGAGCTCCCTATGGGGCCACGAAACGCTGCCCTGGGTGGGGGAACCGCATGCGAACACCCCCACTGGGGCCTTCGGTGGAGCTCCCTATGGGGCCACGAAACGCTGCCCTGGGTGGGGGAACCGCATGCGAACACCCCCACTGGGGCCTTCGGTGGAGCTCCCTATGGGGCTACGAAACGCGTGAGAGGTGTGCCGAGAGCAGAGGCAAGGAGGGGGAGGAGGAGGAGGAGGAGGAGAGGAACGCGGGGCACCGTCTCTTCAAAACGAGGACCCAACACCACAGGATGGTTGGGAAAAACTGAGAATTATGTCTCGATGATCTTGGCATATCTGAATATATTGTGTCTATTGTTCAGCGTTCTTCCAGAATCCGCCTGTACGAGGGCATGGCCGACCTGACGGACAGGGGGAATCAGCCCCACCTTGGAGCTGACCCCCGTGAGCGATGACCCCCGGCAGCGATGAGAGCCCAGAAGGGGAGAGGGCGAGGGAGCGCAGGGGGCCAGCGGGCGCCCCCGCCCGCGGCAGGGGGCGGCGGCGGCGGCGGAGGGCGCGCCGCACCGCAGGACAGATCGATGATCCTCAGAACGTGTGTTGGGGCCAACGGGTGCTTTTCCACCGAAGCCCTTCAATCGGGGGCGCGCAGACATGGACTAGCGATACATGGGTTTGGCGCGCGGTCGCCAAATCCATGGCACCTCCCCAAACTAGGGCCGGTGCCGCCTCGCTCGGCGGCGGAAATCCGCGATTTCCGATGGAAACGGGACCCGTCGCTAATCCACGCCCCCTTGATCCATGTTTGCAATCGCCTGATTCAACACGACGACGCAGGCCCTGGAATGAGGGCCGGCGTGGGCTGCATCCTATCGGCGGAGCTGGGCGTGGGGAAGCTCCTGCTGTCGCAGACACGGCGGTCGCGCGAGCCGGTCGGGCAAAGCAGGGCCAACTGCAGAGAGCAATGGCGAACAGGCAGGCCAGGAGAGTGCGAGCGGCGGCCGCGGAGGGAGGGAAAAGGAATGCGGGCCCCTCCATCACATTGGGATAACATGAAGGGGCCCAGGGACACACAAATAAAAGACACCAGTCCCAGGATTCCCTATGTTTTCCCATAGTTTCTGGAGTTTTCGTCTTCCCCCCCACTTCCCGTATTTCCCCCTATCCTGGGAGTCGACTATGAACAGCGCCTGTGTGTTTCTCCCGTCCTCAAACATTGGGCTAACACACGTCCAGAGGATCGTCGGACAGAGACGGCGAAGGAGCGCCGGGAGGGTAGCGGCCGTCCCCGACCGCGGTGGGGGCGGCGGCGGCGGGCGCGCCGTACCGCAGGACCGACGCCTGCCACAGGCGCGGCGCGGAGCCTCCGCGCCGGGTCGCGGGCGCTGCGCGCTGCGCGCGCGCGGGCACTGCGGGGCAGGGCGTCCGCCGTACTCGGAGGTTGTTGCGCTGTTGTCCACGATTTGATGCGGGAGTTCGCTGGTCCGTTTTTTCCCCGTGGCAGCAGCATCGAACCACGAACCGCCGGTGCGAGACCCCAGGAGGCCAGCGAAACGAAGGTGAGACAGAGGGCCCAGGCCCACTGAACACAAAAATTCCAAAAAATACGCGAAAATTGTCCAAGAATAGTCCCCCGACTATGTTTTGACTATCTCTTGCATGTTCCTCCTGTAGAGGGGCTGGCCCAGCTTGACACTGGGCAGCGCGAGGCCGCCGTGGGGCCCTCACCCCGGGCGGGGCGGCGGGTGGCTGGACCCAGACCTCTGGCGCCGTGATTTTTGCACGACGTCGACCCCCAGAGGTCTGGACTCCTTCCCCAGGACCAGCTTTCCATCCCGAGTGATTTTTGCACGACGTCGACCCCCAGAGGTCTGGACCCCTTCCCCAGGACCAGCTTTCCAGTCCGAGTCGTTTGTGGACGCCCCCGGGGCCTGGTGAGGGCCCCCGGGGGCCGAACATAGCGAAAAACCTCCCGTGGTGATTTTGTTCACGGCGCGAGGAGCTCTGGGGAGGGCAGGGCAGGGTTGCGTAGTAGAGGGCAGGGCAGGGCTGCGCAGTAGACGCCCAGGGCCGTCTGGTAAACGCCGGTGGTCCGGTCCCGGGTTTTTGTTCCCACCTCTGGAGAACGGCGTTGGGAAGTCTTGGCCGAGGTCCGCCTGCGGGGCCCCGGATGTCCACGTCGCCGCCCGCGGGCGCCTCGTGGCCGCCTCATGCGCCGGGTGGGTCCGGCCAGGTTTCGCCACGCTTCCCTCCGTGGGCGCCTCGTTGCCGCCCACCGCGCCAGGGGGGCCCGCCGAGGCTTGGCCTCGTTGCCGCCCACCGCGTTTTGGGGGTCCGCCGAAGTTTCGCCCCGTTGCCGCCCATAGGCGCCTCGTGAGCGCCCCGATGGCTTGCACCACGCAGATTGCACCACATCGCATAGCCACATAGGTCACATCACATGCCTTGCACCACACAGTTTACCCTGCCATCGCGGGGGTAGAGTCCAATGCGATCACAGCTATTATTCGGAAAGGTACCATGTCTGCTCCTTTCCCTGTCGCATCCCCCCACATCCTCCTTCCTGACTACTCCGTCCCACATGTTTCCTGCTCTTGCTGTGTTTTTCTTATGTGTCCATCCACATCTTCCATCTCATCCTCGTAGTCTTCCGCATGACCCTGCTCCTGCTCCTGATCCCTTGATCATTATCCTTGGTCTCCGCCTCATCATCATCATCCTTCCTCCTCATCCTCCTCCTCCCTTTTCCTCCTCCTCTTCCTAATTTTCCTGTTCCTCCTCCTCCTCCTCCTCCTCCTCCTCCTCCTCCTCTTCCTCCTCCTCCTCCTCCTCCTCCTCCTCCTCTTCCTCCTCATGTTCATGTTCCTCCCCCCTACACCTCCTCCGCCTCCTCCTGCTCCTGTTCATCATCCTCTCCTGCTCGTCCACTCCCTTCCTCAGCCGCAGCCGCCACAGAGGCTGACCATTTGGAGACACAATAGTTCACGAAACGAACCACGAAATTATCTGAGCACCCTGGGCACTTTCGCGGGATTAATCATGTGCGGCAAGGCGACATGGACACCCCCGGCAGCCCGCCCGACGGTGCGGGCGTTGGACCACGCTCCATTCTCATCATTGTCACATGCGCACGAACCGTCGGCACTGCGACCATCAGTTTCAGCAGCAACGTCGTCGCCACGGCAAACGCCCCCCGGCTCGCCTGTGGCAGCCGACAAGCATGGGCGGCCAGGAGAACGACGCAGGGGCGCAAAATTACCCGCGCGAAATTGCCCGCACGGAATTGCCCGCGCGAAGCGGCCCCTGAGCTACCACCCAGAATGGCCGCACGAAAAGGCCCCCAAATTGATTCCCTGGACTCGTTCGCGAGCGCCCCGCAACGCATGCGAGCGCAACCAGAAACCGCCCGAAACATTCGCACAGGAACTTCGCGCAGACAATTTCGTGCGGCATTTCGTGGTGCATCTCGTGCTGGAGCTAGCGCAGAGCAGAATTAATCTCGCACAGCATATCGTGCCTCATTTCGTGCCTCATGTCGCGTTCGCGCGGAAGTGGAATCGTGTTCGTTCGACCATAATTTCGTGATAGTGCGACCGCATTTTCGTGCTCGCGCAGGAATGAAGTCGCGTTCAGGCAGTCCTCGCTTTGCATTCGCACTGCAATTAAGCTGCTATCTGCGAGGGGCTACAACAGACATGTCACGCTACACGCAAGCATGGCAAAGCACGACGGCCAACTTCCACGGGGCCCATGGAAAGCAACGCGCGGCCGGCGGACCCCTCCGCGCGCGGCGGCGCCACCTGCGCAGCCAAACCAACCCCCTTCTTCGTCTGGAAAAGACTTCGTGCACGCCCCCCTTTCGTTACCAAGTGGTGTTGGACACCTACAATACGGTGGGGGCATTGAATAAGGAAACCTTCGATAGGGAATCCAGGGTCTGGAAGCCAATGGAACTCCAATCGTGGATTGGCCATGGATATCACCGCTCCCTATGGGACCGCGACACGGGTGATGGGTGTGCCGAGACGGACATGCGGTGGGCGGGAAGCCGCATGTGAACCCTGCGGCTGGGGCCTTCGGTGGAGCTCCCAATGAGGCCGCCAAACGTGAGGGGTATGCCGAAATCGACATGCGGTGGGCCCCTGGGTGGGGGACCGCATGTGAACCCTGCCACTGGGGCTTTCGGTGGAGCTTCCTATGGGACCGCGACACTAAAACGAGGACCCCACACCACAGGATGGTTGGGAAAAACATGAAACATACCAGGAACATACTGTCAACCCGTATCATAAGGATGCGCGGTAAGGATGCAAGGGCCTTAGAAGGCCATGTCAACACTTTGCGAGCGGGGCGCGGCCAGCGAAAGCGGTCAAGGATGGACCGAGGAGGCAAGGATGCAAGGGTACCTCTGGGAAGGCTGTCAATCCTTACTGCGCGGGTTGACTGTACCTGGTGCTCAAAGCTACCAACAGTCACAGGGATCACAATGACCCAAAATACCAGGAAATGTCGGTGTTCAGTTTAATACCACTACAAGTTGTTGTCTACATGTTTCCAAGGTGTCGATACAATCGTTGACATGTAGGTCGTCCGAAGGGATCAAGAAGACTGAGAGATAGAGGGGGAGCGGGAAAGAAGCGCAAGCACTCCCTGGAGAGACGGAAGCAAACGGAGGTGGCAGCAGAAGCCGAGAGGAGGAAGAGGAGGAGCAAGGATGGAGGAGCGAGGAGGCGACCAGCGACGCAGCGACAGAGAAGGCGACGGAATCGGCTCCACGCAAGAGTGGTCCAAGGCAAGAGTGAGCTCCGGTGCGCGTCCTGCCGATCGTTGCATGCAGCACGACAGCAAGTGTTTCCGTGCTTCGGCGTGGCCCCCCCACCGCGCCTGCCGAGAGCTGCGCACCGACGGTCACTCTGGCGAAGGATCCCTGTTCATACGCGTAGCCGAGAGACGAGCTCTTCAGCACCGCCTGCACCCCGCGCCCTCCGGCCGCCTGAGGCCCCGCCCGCCCGCGCTCTGTCTCCGCAAGTAGTGCTTTGCGCGGCCCGCCTAGCTCTTAACCGCAAGAGGCTCGCTCTCGACCCGCAGACCAAAAAAGTAGCCGAGAGACGCCGAGCCCAGGGTGGGACAAGGGAAGGCTGGGATCAGCACAGAGCTGGCGTGCAGTGCAGCAGTGATGAGCGGCGGCCTCCCGCATAAGACTTTATCCGCCAACCCGAGTCTGGGTGCAGGAGGCGCGCTGGCGCCAGGACTCAGGAGGCGGGCCAAGAAGTCTCCAGGCCTGCGCGGAGGGGCTCCCCGTACTCCTCCTCGCCAAATTGATGTGATGCGTAGTGTGTGGCGTGTGGCGTAGGGCGTGCGACATGTGGTGTGTCTGTGTGTCTGTGTGTCTGTGTGTCTGTGTGTCTGTGTGTCTGTGTGTCTGCGTGTGTGAGTGGTGTAGTTTGCTTCGGTGCGGTGCGGTGCGGTGCGGTGTGATGTGGCGTGGTGCGCGATTTGGACTGACAGGTAGAAAGCTATGATGTGGTGTGGAGCGCGGTGCGGAGTGTGAGGTGGAGTATGGTGTGGATTGCGGTGTGGTTTGGGGTGGTTGTGGGATGGTGCAGAGAGTGCATGGCGTGCAACGGTGTGCTGCGGTGCGGTGCGGTGTAGTGCGTGGTGTGGCGCGGCGCGTGGTTTACAATGAATTGTGGAATGGTGTAATGTGGTGTGGAGCTTGGTGTGAAGCGTGTTGTGGAGTGTGGTGTGGAGGGATGTGTGGTGTGGTGTTGGGTGGCTTGTGGGGTGGTGCAGGAATGGTGATATGTGGTGTATGGTGCACGGTGTATGGTAAGGTGTGATGGAACGGATGGTGTGGTGCATGGTGTGGTGTGGTGTGTTCTGGTATCGAGTGAAGTGTGATGTGCTGTGGTGCGGTGAAGGTGCGGCCTGGTGTGTGATGTGCACCGTGTGGTGTGTGGTGCACAGCTTGTTGTGTGTGTGCGGCAACCCTGGTCCCCACGCCGCGTGACCTGGTCCAGCCGCGCGCGATCTCAAACTCGACCCCCTACGCCGCGCCGCCGCGCGCGTGGCCGCAACGCCAGAAAGTGTGTGTGTGTGTGGTGCGGCGTGTGACGTCTGGCGTGTCATGTGTGTACTGCGTGGCGTGCGGTAAGTGGCATATGGTGTGTGGTCTGCGATATGTGTTCCTTGCGCGTAGCTTGGCGTGAGGCGTGTGGAGTATGGTGAGGGGTGTGTGTGTGAGGGGTGTGTGGTGCGTGGTGCGGAACGAGATGGGGGATGTCAGGTGCGTGGCGCGTGGTGAGCAGAGGGCAGTATGCGTTGTGAGGCGGATGTGTGTAGTGTGTAGTGTGTGGTCTGTGGTGTGCGGTGTGCGGTGTGCGTGCGGTGTGGTGTGGTTAGCGGTGCGGGCGGTGTGGCCTGTGGTGCATGTTGTGTCGTATGTGCGTGTCGCGTGCTATGTTATATGGTGCGTCATGGCACGGTGCATTGTATTGAGCGGCGTAGCGTAATGCGGTATGCTAAAGTGTGTGGCGTGGTGTGGTGTGCTGTGACATGTACTGTGGCGCGCGGTGTAGATGTGGTGAGGTTGTAGTGAGGTGTAGCGTGTAATACCTTGTGGCGTGGATTGGTACAGAACTAAGGACACGAGATGTGCGTATTGCGTGTGCGTAGACTACTAAATCGACATACCCATGAAGGCACACCACCTTGTTCTGGTCTCTCGCTGTCCCTCTCTCTCTCTCTCTCTTTATCGCCCTCTCTCTCTCCCTCGATCTCTCCCTCTCTCTCCCTCTATGTGTTGTTTCTCTCTCTCTCGCTCTCTCTCTCGCTCTCGCTCTCTCTCTCTCTCTCTCTCTCACTCCCTCTCTACGTAGGCCTAAAACGTGTATTCACATGCGTAAACACATGTACATTTGTACACACACGCACATAGAGAGAGAGATGTGCAAACGCATATGTATATACGTAAATGTATCTGCACACACATGTTAAGTTTAAACACACATGCATGTACACATACTCACGTACGTGCGTACATACATACATGCGTGCATACATAGGCTGTGATGTTGTGTTGTGAAGTCGTTGGTTTTGTGTGGAGCGGTGTTTGTTTTTTTCTGCCAGGGCGGGGTGGTGTTGTGCGGGTCGCAGATGGTGTGGTGCGCGGGCCGGCCTTGTGCGGTCGTCAAAGTCAGCTTGGGGAAGGAGGCGGTTGAGCATTGGGTGCGTTGGAAACGGAGGCTGTTGAATTTGTGGGTGTGGTGTCGGAGACGGAACTGTTGAGTAGAAGGGAGCAGTGGGTGTGGTGATAGAGATGGGTGCTGTCGAGTAAGTGGGTGTGGAGTTGAAGACGGGAGCTGTTGAGCAGAAGGGCAGTTTCAAGTTCAGATTGGGGAGGGAGCCTGCTGAGCTTTGGGTGTGGTGATGGAGATTGAGGCTGTTGAGTAGGTGGGTGTGGTGTTGGAGACGAAAGCTGTTGAGTAGAAGGATATTCTGAAGTTCAGCTTGGGGGTGGAGCCAGTTGAGTAGTGGGTGTGGTGTTGGAGACGGAGGCTGTCGAGTAGGTGGGTGTGGTGTTGGAAATGGAGGCTGTTGATATTATGAAATATAACTTCAGCTTGGGGAAGGAGCCTGTCAAGTATCGGGTGCGGTAGAGGCGGAGGCTGCCGAGTGGGTCGGTGTGGTGTTGGAGACGGAGGCTATTAAGTAGAAGGATTGTTTGAAGCTCAGCTTGGGGAGGGGACCTGTTGAACATAGGGTGTGGTGTTGGAGATTGAGGCTGTTGAGTAGGTGGGTGCGGGGTTAGAGACGAAAGCTGTTGATTAGAAGGATATTCTGAAGCTCAGCTTGGGGAGGGAGCCAGTTGAGTATTGGGTGTGGTGCTGGAGACGGAGGCTGTCGAGTGGATGGGTGTGGTGTTGGAGACGGAGGCTGTTGAGTATAATGATATGTAACTTCAGCTTGGGGAAGGAGCCTGTCAAGTATCGGGTGCGGTGGAGGCGGAGGCTGTCGAGTGGGTCGGTGTGGTGTTGGAGACGGAGGCTATTGAGTAGAAGAACTGTTTGAAGCTCAGCTTGGGGAGGGGGCCTGTTGAACATAGGGTGTGGTGTTGGAGATTGAGGCCGTTGAGTAGGTGTGTGTGGTGTTGGAGACGGAGGCTGTCCATTAGGAGTATATTCTGAAGCTCAGCGAGGGGAAGGAGCACGTTGAGCAGTGGGTGTGGTGATGGAGATGGATGCTGTCGAGTGGCTTGATGTGGTGGTTGAGACGAAAGCTGTTGAGTAGAAGGACAGTTTGAAGTCCAGCTTGGGGAGGGAGCCTGTTGAGCATAGGGTGTGGTGTTGGAGATTGAGGCTGTTGAGTAGGTGGGTGTGGTGTTGGAGACGGAGGCTGTTGAGTGGAAGGACATTTTGGAAGTTCAGCCTGGGGAGCAAGCATGTGAGCATAGTGTGTGGTATTGGAGTCGGAGGCTGTTGAGTAGGCGTGTGTGATGTTGGGGACGGAACATGTTGAGTAGAAAAGAATTGTCCGTTTGAGCTTTGGGAGGGAGCTTGTTGAGCATCGGGTGCGGTGCTGGAGCCGGAGGCTTTAGGAGGGAGCCTGTGAGTATTGGGTGTGATGTTTGAGAGAGGCTGTTGACCATAATGATGATCATGATGATAATGATGGTCATGATGATCATGATGATGCGGATGATTATGATAGTGGTGATGATGGAAATGGTGGTGATGATTGTGATGAGTAAGGTTATGATGATTGTCATGATGATGATGAAGATGATGATGATGGTGATGACGATGATGACGATGATGATGATGATGATGATGATGGTAATTATGATGAGGATGAGGATGATAATGATCATCAGTGATGATGATAATGGCGATGATGATCATGATGATGATCATGATGATAATAATGGTGATGATGATGATGATGATGATCATGGTGGTGATGATGATGATGAGCAAACGAGAAAAGACAGGATCATGGTGGGTTCAGCGGACTATGCGTACATATGTGTGTCTCTCTGTATATATAGTTATCCCTCTCTTTCTCTCTCTCTCTCTCTCTCGCTCTCTCTCTGTCTGTTCTATTTCACTCTACCAGTATATGTAGGAATGAGAAAGACGTCAGCCTTTCGAATATTCAGCACCAGCAGAATATGAGGATCTGATCTCAGCCTGCCCACCCGCTGTGACATGGCGATGTCATGTTGAATGCCTCGACATTTACAGACCGGTCCAGCCACCTCATTCCTCCATATAAGACAAATAGAATTCATCAGCTCAACGCCAATTGTCAGCAATCTGCACATGCTCGTCTTCGCGGGGCCAACTCCTGTGGCCAGTCCTGCTTCACGACCCCGAGCCTCTGCCCATTCCCCGAACAGTGCCTGCACCGAAGGGATTCTCACCTGCCTCGGAAAGAGCTAGGGGAACAAACAATGACAGAGCCATAAAAACTCGGAGGTCCGCGCGGATTTTTCGGATCGGCGCTGGATGGCGCGCGGAGCGCGCCAGGGGCGGCGCCGGAGGCGCCGCCAGGGGGCCAAAGCGCCGATCCGCGGAATCCGTGCGGACCTCCGAGTTGTTATGTTTATGTCATTGTTTGTTTGTTCCCCTGAGGGCTCCCGTGCGCAGACTTTCGCGGCTCGGCCCTCCGCGACGGCCCCGCCCCCCCGCCCCTGGCAGGAGAGCCTCGAATCGAATCGATAAGTCGGAGCGGCGACCGAAATGAACCCGATCGGCGGAGATCGGCAGCCGAGTCGGGCAAAGCCGAACCGGCGGAAGTCGGCAGGCTCGTGTGCCACCGTGGAGAGATCGGGGCCACAATCGGAATCCCAAGTCAAACCGAATCGAATCGGCGTCGAATCGAATCGAATCGAATCGGAGGAATCGGTGTCCCCCGGGGCCGAAGGCGACCCGAGGAGGAGGAGGAGGAGGAGGAGGAGGAGCAGGAGGAGGAGGAGAAGGAGGGGGAGGAGGAGGAGGAGGAGGAGGAGGAGGAGGAGGAGGAGGAGGAGGAGGAGGAGGAGGGGAGGGGGAGGAGGAGGAGGTGGAGGAGGAGGGGAGGGGAGGGGGAGGGAGGAGGAGGAGGAGGAGGAGGAGGAGGAGGAGGAGGAGGAGGAGGAAGAGAAGGAGGAGGAGGAGGAGCAGGAGGAGCAGGAGGACGAGGAGTAGGAGGAGGAGGAGGAGGAGGAGGAGGAGGAGGACGGGTCGCCCAAGCCCTTCGGAGAAACTCTCCAGACGTAAGATTCGGATTCGGGGGGCTCGTGTTGGCCTGATGGGACCATCATGAAAATAGGCGAACGAAAAATGGCATAAACAGGAAATCTCTGAGGTCCGCGTGGATGTCTTGGATCCGCGCTGGACCCCCCTCATTGGCGCGCGGCGCCGCCAGGGGGCCCCAGCGCCGATCCGAGAAATCCGCGCGGACCTTCGAGTTGCTATGGTTATGTAATTGTTCGTTCCCCTAGAAAATGGCAAGACCCAATCTGAAGTTTGGCGCGAGCTCCCGCCGCAAGCATCCCACGAAAACTGAGCCGTCAAAATCCAAGTCGCACTCGTCAAAAAGCTTCGGCAAACCCGAGTTCTGGCATACTCGAGACTTACGTTTCCCCGATTTTCGGGTGTTGCTAGAAGTGCCCCTGGCCCAAAGTGCCCCCAGGATTTCCAAGCAGCCCCCCGCGGCCTCCACAGCACCCCTCGGAGGCCCAGAGGGCCCTAGGGGCTCCAAAACTGGGGAGATCAGCAAGGGGTACAGTACAAGGCCACCTCTGGCAGAGTCCGCTTTGGTCCGACCAATCCGATGTGATATCTGCTTTGGCCAGCTCCATCCCTGCCGTCGCCAGTTTGAACGACGTCATCCTCGGTTAGAAGAAGAAGTAACAGCATAACCTACAGACGAAACTATGATCCAAAAAACATAATTTGAGACACATGGGCCAGCTTTCTGGAAATGTCCTCACACTACCCTGGGCCTACTTGCTGACTTACGCTGAAGGCAAACGTGCTTCAGAAGCTGTGCCGGCTTTCCGGCAAGTTGGTTGAGAGACGCTGGCCCAGCTTTCCGGGAGGAGGTTTTTTAATCGGATGCTCGGCTGTATGCTTTCGGACGCCCGCACGAACGTTTGATCGGCGCTGGACCCCCAGCTGGCGCACAAAGCTCCGGGCGCCAGGGGGGGACGGTCCGTCGGAAACCCAAAGAATCCCGCGGGGACCGCGCTGTTGTCCCTTCGTCGAGACGCCCTGGGCGCTGTCGTCGTCGTCGTGGCTGGCGCCCCTCGCAGCATCCTGGGAGCGCAGAAGCCCCAAACAGCGGGCATCTGGGGCCGTCCTCCTCCTCCTCCTCCTCCTCCTCCTCCTCCTCCTCCTCCTCCTCCTCCTCCTCCTCCTCTTCTGGAAGAGCAAGCCCCTCATCGCCTCTGGAGCACGCAGCAGGCCACGCCCCGGCCCCCGCCCCTGGGACGCAGAAGGGCGCACCAGTTGCCAGTCCATACTATGCGCCCCCCGTGGAGGCGCACGTCGTCGGAACCGAGCACAAAGTACACGCATATCATAGCACATCGCTTCCAACGCGGTAAATATGGCCACGAAGCGCCCGCCACCGAGCATACACTGTCAGACTTCTCAACGCACGCGTTCCCCCCCTCGGGGGCCGACGCGCAGACATATCCTAAGTACGCAGGAGGAGGAGGAGGAGGACGAGGAGGAAGAGGAGGAGGAGGAGGAGGAGGAGCAGGTGGAGAAGAAGAAGGAGGAGGAGGAGGAGGAGAAAGAGGAGGAGGAGGAGGAGGAGGAGGAGGAGAGAGAGGAGGAGGAGGAGGAGGAGGAGGAGGAGGGAGGAGGAGGAGGAGGAGGAGGAGGAGGAGGAGGAGGAGGAGAAGGAGGAGGAGGACGAGGACGAGGGGGAGAAGGAGAAGGAGGAAGAGGAGGAAAAGGACGAGGAGGAGGAGGACGAGGAGGAGGAGAAGCAGGAGGAATAGTAGGGACGAGTTCTACCCCCCGCCGAGAGAAACAGGGGGTGGGAGGAGCAAAACGAAAGACTTCCCGAAGTTATGCTTGGGTGATGCGCCCCGCCCAGCCTCGGCGCGCCCCTCTCCCTCAGCTCGTCCGCGTCCGTGCAGAAAATGGGGGCGCCGTCCTGCCGCAGAGTGAGGCCTCCCAAATTGGGTCCGAGCAGGTGGCGTAGAACTTGGTGGGCCCCAAAAACGGCAGGAGCGTTTTTTCACCGATTTCGAACAAGTGCCTCTTGAACATGGAGGCGGTAAAAAACGGCAACCAACGACGGCCAAAAGAAACGGCTCCGGGATTGGAACTGGAACCAGAACCGGCAAAAGAACGGCGACGGAACCGGCAAAAAACGACGTCGGAACCGGCCAAAAAATGACGAAACGGAACCAATGAAAAAACAGCCCTGTCGTTTCCAGGGCCCACGCAGGGGCAGGAGGATCGCGCGGCATCGCCGATGCATCGGCGATGCATCGCCGATGCGCCAGCGACGTCCGCGATGCATCGGCGACGTCGGCGTGGAGAAAATCGGTCTCCTCATCGGGCCACATCCCCCATGCATCGGCGGGACTCCATATACTCGGACACCTTTTGGGAGACTGGGGTCGAGATCCCCAGAGGCCCATGCCGCGTCTTCGGAGGAGAGGGAAGTGAGAGGCTCGAGCTTTCACATGTTCACCGCCTTGGGAACCGAGTTCTCAGGGCCCCAAGGGTATGGGTTTGGACATGTTTGGGCCCCAGATCCACTGCCCCCTGAGGCCAAGGAAGATCGGTCTCCCCGCGGTGTATGTGTGTATATATATACACACACGAGTCCCAGCCCCAGAGGATCACAGACGTCCACGGCGACACCTAGAGTGAAGACCGATCGAACCGACGGCGAAATAGAAACCGACCGAAATCGACGCACAGAAAGCAGACTAGAAGGACGCATGGGCGTAGCAAACGACCGAACCGAGCCGGCCGAATACAGCCGACTGAGCAACAGACGAACAGACCGAGCCGCGCGTACCGCGTACCTTGGTGAGGATGGACTCTCAGATCCAGGCGTCGCAGAAGACTCGTGGCGGTCGGTTTTCGTTTTCTACGTCCGAGCCCAAGGCCGCCCACAAAAAAGCTGCTCGGAAAGAGAGGCCAGCCCCCAGGAAGGGGTCGAGATCCATGGGCCCACGCTGCGAAAGGATTGCGAAGTCGGAGGACGGGATTGAGGATTGAGATCCATGACGAAGACGAGGATTGAGGATTGAGAAATGAGGATTGAGGGTTGAGGATTGGGGATTGGGGACTGGGGATGATTCAGGAATGATGATCGAGGACTGAAGATTGAGGAATGAGAATAGGAGGGAAGACGAAGTGATGAGGATTGAGGATCGAGGTGGTTCCAGGTCTGCGGACGCTTTGGGTACCTCTGGAGGCCTCCTCGAGACGCGGAGGAAGGCCACGGGGAGGAGGGGAGGGCGAGGACGCAGGAGGTCCTCGGGGAGGAGGGGAGGGAGGGAAGAGGAAACGGAGGAGGAGGCGGAGGAAAAAAACGACGACGACGACGACAAAGAGAAGGCAGCAGGGAGGATGAAGGAGATGAGGGGGGACGACGACGACGACGACGACGACGACGACGACGACGACGACGACGAGGAAGGAGAACGAAGAGGGTGCCGGCGAGGAGAGGAGGAGAAGGATGAGGACGGGGATGGGACGGAACCCATTTTTTCCCGATGCGCATACTGCGAAGCAAAGAAACTCATCGTCATCATAGCTTTGCTCATCATCCACCCCTCAAATCACCTCCTCATCCAAATCACCTCCTCATTGTCATCGTCGTCGTCATGCCCCAAATCACCTCCTCATCCACGCCGACTCACAATTCGCGTACTGCTAGCACCCCTCGTCACTCACCTTCCCAGATTCCCTGGTCATGCTCGCCTTGTCCTCACCATGGTATAAACCTTGCACGACATCTTGAATAGAGTCGGCGGTGAATGTTTCTGCCGACACTTTCAATCCAGAACACGCGTACTGCAAAATATTGCCTCCCCTGAATCGGTGCCAGATGAGCAGAAACACAATGGACGTCCAGGAAAGATAGCGCATAACTTTCAAGTACAAACGCACACTCAGAAATAGTATGTGCAATAAGGTGTACTCGAACGAACTTGCATGGGAACAAAATTGCAACACAAGAGCGGTATATCTACGAAAAGGAAGGAGGCTGGCAGACAGAGAGACAGACCGACAGACATACAAATAATGTAATACTCTCTGCTGTTCCAACGTTTACCGAATACCCGAAGGAGATCCGCCACAGGCGTACAGGTGAGAAGCCAAGCAGAGAGAGAGAGACGGAGATGAGAAGAGATCACACCCCAAAATTCACATACAACCGGCTGACGATAAGGTCAACGGAAGCGCCCGACTGGAAAGTCGTGTGCGGACGACAAGTCAGGGACGACATGATGGACACACCACGTAAAAACATACGGAACATCAAGCAAACAAACGACAACAGGACTCCCGAACAAAAAACTATGAGAGTGAAAAAGATGCCTAGGGTCCAAGACGGAGGGAGCATGAAGGAAGAGGGAGGAGGGAAGAGGGACCGCATGGAGGGAGAGAGAACAGGGAAGAAGCAGGCGTGGCGCAAGCACGCCTAGCTTGCATCCACGCACGCTTGCGCAACGCCTGCTTCTTCCCTGCTCTCTCTCTCTCTCTCTCTCACCCCTACTCTCTCCTCCCTCCTCCGCGATAGGGTCCTCCTGAGGGTCTCAGGTCAGCTGTTACACCCCGTCGGCGGACAGAGAAAAACAGCGCCGTGGGAAGGGATGGGTGAGAGGGGTGGGACCCTCCTCCCGGATCCCCAACGTCATGATCTTTTTCATGGCGCGCCACCCATTCCGGACCCATTCCACGGGACCGGTTTTGGGTCCTGAGTCGTTTCTGACGGTCCCGAGGCCCAGGAAGGGCCCCCAGAGGCCGAAAAGAGCAAAAAGCCTCCCGTCGTGGTTTTTGTTCACGGCGCGGTGGGGTGTGGTTACCAGCCTGGGACATATCCCTATCCCTATGTTGGGCATCGCCTCATCACGATGGCGATCTCAGGGATTTCCTCAGACTCTGAGGGCGTATCCCTAAGATTGTCCTCTCCTTTTAGCGTGTCAATCTTAGGGATGGGGATCAGTTCGAGGCTGGTGATGTGGGCTCCCTCCTCCCTCCCCGCGCCGCGCGGCCCCCAGGAGAGCTCCCCGCCGCGCGTCCCTGCCGCCCCGTTGCCCCCACCCTCACGCTCCCGCGCTCTGTCTGCCGCCCCGCGCGCCGGAGGCGCTGTGCGGCCGCTGCCCAGACGTCCTCCGCCCCCCCTCCTCCCTCCTCTCCTCCTCTCCTCCTCTCCTCCTCTCCTCCGCTCCTCCTCCCCCTCCCTCCCTCCCTCCCTCCCCTCCTTTCTCCTCCCTCACTCCTCCCGCCCTCCTCTCCTCCTCCCTCCTCTCTCGTCACTCCCTCCTCTCTCCTCACTCCCTCCTCCCTCCTCTCTCCTCCTTCCCTCCCTCCTCCCCTGAACGAAGGAACGCTGAGCACGGGCCGCGCGCGCGGGCGGCTGCGTGGGGCTCCCTGCCCGCCCGGGATCCCCTCGGGCCGTCTCGCGGGGCCCACTGGCCGCAGCTCGTGCCGCCGTGGAGCCCTCCGCTCTGGCGCTGCCGCCGGGATCGGCGCGCCCCTGTCCAGCTGGGCCCCTCCCCCGGGGTGGCACACGGGACCGCTCGGAGAGGCGCCGCCTCCGCCACCAACTGGAGGGTGCGGAGTACAGGCGGTGCCGAAGAGCTTGCACAGGAAAAGGTACGCCTTGGACAGGAGCCGGGGGCGAAGTCCTGGAGGGAGAGCGAAGTGGTGTTGCCGTCAACGGCGCGAAATAAAACCTGGGGTGGCTCACGGGACCGCACGGAGAGGCACCGCCTCCGCCACCAACTGGAGGGGCCCGAGAGAGGGGGGAGGGCGGCGGGCGCGCCCACGGCCCGCGGCCTCCACCAGCTTCGCGGGGAGGCGCCTCTCTCCGATCGCGCCGCCGCCCGCGGGGACTCTGCGTCGCGAGCCCGCGCCGGCGCTGAGACCACGGCGGGCCCGCGTCGAGGACGCGTCGAAGCCTCGTCGACGCCCGCCCTCGTCGAGCCCGCGCCCTCGAGCCCGGGCCGAGCCCGGCCGCTGCCTCCGCGCGCTCGGGTGCCGCAGGCCGCCACCACTGCAAGTGGCGCCGTCCCCGGACCTCCTCCCAGGCGGCTCCCGTGTCGCGTGCCTCGCCGGCTCTCTCGGAAGTGCTCTCGCTTCGAGACGGTTCGCCGACGGCTGCGCCCGCCGAAAGGCCTTCTCCGGGGGGGGTCCCGGACCGTCCCCGGGCGGCCGCCCGAGGCCCAGGCCAGGGCCCGAGAGGCAAAGCCCTGGCGCCTTCGGAAAAAGATCAGGGCAGGGAGGGGCCACGGCTTTCGGCCTCCGAAGGGCCTCCAGGGGCTCTCCTCCTCCTCCTCCGCCTCCTCCTCCTCCTCCTCCTCCTCCTCCGCCTCCAGCTCCTCCTCCTCCTCCGCCTCCTCCTCCTCCGCCCTGGGTTCGTTGAAAGGCGACTCGGGAAAAGAAACTGGCCCCTGGGGAAAAGGCCAAGACTTCCGTGGACCCCGCACTGCGAAAACCACGACGTCGGATGCCTGGAGTGCCCGTCGTGTCAGGGCTGTGAAGAGGGGGGGGGCCGCGAGTCTGCGTGCCTGAACCAAGGCGCGGTGGTCACTGCGGTGGAGAAGGGGCTGCGACGAGTGCGGAGCCCTGCGCGACGGGGCGGCCCGCGCATGTTGCCTCAGAGGTCGTCCTGGAGGCTGGCCCCGCACGTGCGTGGCCACGCCATCGGTCCCATCCTGGTGTACAGAGACGTAGTGCTGCAGCTCGAGGCAGGCGTGGCGCCGACATGATAAAATTCGGGGGCGCGGTGATGGCAACGCTCAGCTGGTAAGCGGCAGCCATGTGAACGTTTTCTCATTCGGCGTTTCGACATTGGGCGGAAGGGGGGGAGGGGGGGGATCTGGTTCCAGACCTCTGCATAGCGCGACTGTTTGCAACAGTGCGTCATATGGGGGAGGCTCCACCTGCTCGAAACAGGCGCCAAAAACAGCCAAGACCTGCACCATGGGGGGAGGGGGGGTGCGAGGGCCCGCTCCGATCGGCAAAACAATGAATAAGAAAACGATCCTCATCATCAGGAACGATAAATCTCACGGAGTTGATGAGCTGCAGTGCTGGGCCGCGGCAGACAGCTCACTGGACAACGAAGTATCGCAGTGCTTTGCGGGTGGACGATGACGAGGCCCTCCGCCGCAGGTGATGCTGCTCCCCAGGGGCACGCTGTTTGTGCGTGGGACACGGTTGGGGGGTCAAGCGTTGGTCGGGTCCAACGCTGTCCCCCTCCCCGGTCTGACTCCAGCGCAAAGTGAGCGCACGGTTCTCTACTTCTCTCCAATTCCTCCTCCTCCTCCACCTCCTCCTCCTCCGCCTACTCTTCCTCCTTCTCATCCTCCTCCTCCTCCGCCTCCTCCATATCATCATCATCACCATCATCATCATCATCATCATCATCATCATCATCATCATCATCATCATCATCAGCAGCAGCAGCAGCATCATCATCATCATCAGCATCATCAGCATCATCATCATCATCATCATCATCATCATCATCATCATCATCATCCTCATCCTCGTCATCATCATCATCATCATCATCATCATCATCATCATCATCATCATCATCATCATCATCATCATCATCATCATCATCATCATCATCATCATCATATCATCATCGTCATCATCATGCTCATCATCATCATCAGCAGCAGCATAATCAGCATCATCATCGTCTTCATCACCACCACCATCATCATCGTAATCCTCATCAGCAGCAGCAGCTTCGTCACCATCATCATAATCATCGTCATCATCATCATCAGCATCGTCTTCATCATCACCATCATCACCACCAGCAGCATCAACAGCAGCATCAGCATCATCATCACCACAACCATCACCATCATCAGCATCATCAGCATCAGCAGCATCAGCAGCAGCATCATCATCCTAATCATCAGTTTGATAATCATCGTCATCATCATCAGAAGCATCAGCATCATCATTATTATCATCAGCAGCATCAGCATGATCAGCATGATTAGCATCATCATCAGTATCATCATCATCAGCAGCAGCAACATCCCTTCTTTCGTCTCTCATCAACCACCGTCATCATTCCTCTTCCCACCTCATCCTCCTCCTCCTGGTCAATATCCTCATAGACCCTTCTCTCTCATCATCATTTTGGTCAGTCTCCTTGTCATCACATATCATATACCGTCTGCCCAGCATGGTATATAATCTCCCATATCTCGATCCTTCTCCTACTCACCACCGCCACATTCACCGTCAGCCTCCTCCTGGTCGTCCTCATGCACCATCCTATTCTGCTTGCCGATTGCGCAGTTCACGGCGGGATAAAATGATCCAGATGCCATCTGGGGATCAAAATACTCTAGGACACCAGTCGGAGGATCGAAACGGATTCAACGGTATGGGAAGGGATGGGTGGAAGGGGTAGGATGTCAGATGTAACGCGAGAGCGCCTAATTTGCCTCCATGCTCCCTCCGCTCTCATCTATCCGCCCTCCCCCCTCACACACCCAGATCCCTCCCGATCCTCCCCCAAATCATCAGCATCTTGCCCGTCCTCGTCCCTCATCCTCATCCTCATCGTACACATCCTGCCTGCCACCCTCCATGTACTCCACCTGCTCCTCCTCCTCCTCCTCATCCTCCTCATCCTCCACCTCCTCCTCCTCCTCATCCTCCTCTTGCTCCACCTCCTCCTCCTCCTCCTCCTCCGCCTCCTCATCCTCCTCCTTATCATCATAATCCTGATCCTCATCCGCCTCATCCTCCTCATCCTACTCTTACTCCTGGGAGCTGACAAACTCAGCACCATCATTCTCCTCATCCTCGTCCTCATCCACCTCATCCTCCTCCTCATCCTCCTCCTCCTCAGCATCATCATCATCATCAGAATCGGTATCAAAACCATCATCAACATAATTATCAGCATCATCATCATCATCATCATCATCATCATCAACAGTATCAGCATCATCAAACCAGCATCATCATCAACAACACCAACATCATCATAGTCAGCATAATCAGCAATATCATCATCAGCAGCAGCATCATCATCATCATCAGCATCATCATCGTCATCATCAGTATCATCAGCATCGGCATCATCGCAATCATCACCAGCATCAGCATGATCATCATCATCATCATCATCATCATCATCAGCATCATCATCATCAGCAGCAGCATCAGAATCAGCATCAGCATCATCATCACCACCATCATCACCATCATCAGCACCATCCTCATCATCAGCAGCATCATCGTCATCATCAGCATCACCATCACCATCACCAGCATAACCCTGATCGGCATATCATTCACCTTCTCGTC